ATACATGATGATGATACATGATGATGATGATACATGATGAGGATACATGATGGTGATGATACATGATGAGGATACATGACGATTATAATCATACATGACAATGATGCAGCGATAACTGTCCACCCCATACCTGTTAGTGGCAGAGTTGTAGCAATAGTTGGGTAGGAAATCAAAGTTCAGTTCCCAGAAGACGTGCAAGGTGATTCTACCATAGGGAGCAGAGACACAGTGGTTGGCTTCACGCAACATGGTTTTGAATGGAATCAGTGTCATGTGTTCTGATAGCAATTCGTGTGCTATTCTATTCACCTCCAGTAGGTTTTCCAAATCCTAGGGAAAAACAAATCCACCGGTTATGAAAATCTTATTCAATTTGGACATTTGATTGTGGGGATATAGATCACTTCTTCTAACCGTGAACGATCCTCGTTACCTCTGGATGGGATGTATCCACATAAGCAACAGCGGCCTGCCGCCGTCAAGGTACGGATTATGACCATACGATACGGACGAGCTGTGCCGTGAACGTGACGGTACTGTATACGCATTCTCATTGGCTTATATTGAACTCACGCGCGGTGATTGGTTCAAAGGTTAATTTTATACCATGTCATTATCGTACCGTTTCTCAGTCATAAGCAATCTAACTTTGCCTCGAGTTCAAAATACCAAAGAAAAAAGAAAAGATACAAGTATAAAAACGTTCTGAAGCAGGGAAACCGCAACAGCTAAGGCCCTTGAACAAAGAATGTGTAATAGTCCTAGTATTTCAATTCACCATGTTCCATAAATTGGTTCACTGGTCAAACACAAAGCGTTCAAGCGAGGCGCCAAGGTACTTTCAAAGGATTATTCAAATTTGCACCTTGCAACCTGGACTGAATGCTTTGTGTTTGAACAGTGAACCGATTAATGGAAAATGGTGAATTAATGCGTTAAAACTCACCACTATCCCGCACAAGTCGCCACTCTCGAACCTACTTATGGCGATATCAAGAGACTTCAACAGGAAATTATTTATGCGTTGAGTAATCAGTTTGTTGAGGTCGATGGAGCGCCCAAGTAGCTATAACGTAATAGAAAGAATATTAATATTTTATAGTCTTTTTTGACAAAAAAGAAAGTACTACACCTGCGACTATCTAAAGAAGAAAAAGAAAACATCTTCAGGGTTTGTGCAGGTTCTTCAAAAGGAATTGACGGAGCTTTGAGGAATATTTACAATTTAAGGTGTAAGATCTCATTTTTTTAAAGAAAAATTACATGTGTTTCAATAAGTGATATTTTACCACAATCGTGTTGCTTTCTCGTAATCATCTGCTATCTAATGGACTACTTCAATGATACGGCGGCCATCTTGCCAGGGGGGCAAAACAAGACAAAGCCGACGGGAAATATATAGAGTTTCGTGTGTTTGTCTTTCTTTTATGGTAAAGGTGATCGATGTGCCGTCTTAATTAATCTTCTGTTGTACTCTCTTGTGATGAGCTGTTATTATCAATCGCTATTACAGGAGCCTTGAACACTACACCTACCTGGACGTGTCTCTGCTTTAGTAAGCTCTCGTATCTGTTTGCACGACCTTCCTTGCCTGCATTCAGGTTGATTCCAAGCTTTGCACACTCTGACTTGAACTGCTTATTGAGGTACATACTGCAAAATGAAAGGGCCACGAGTTTATTAATTGGCCAAAGTTTATTATTTACCCTGAGTTCCTGTCACGTGCTTACCATAATTAATCAATCAATCAATAAAGCAATCAATCAATCAATCAATCATTTTATTAATGTGTCTAAACTTCTAGCGTTCCACAGGTGGCAGCACTAATCGTGGACACCATAATCAAGTTGTTTATTTATTAAGTTATTATTTTAGGATTAACTCAGAACCATGAGAAATAGTAGTAGTGGGAGGAGGAGAAGAAGTACTAATAGTAGTAGTAGTAGTAAATGTTATTTTTTGGCTTACTTGCAAGCTTGGAACTTGTAATACGCGAATACTTGGTCACTGAGTTTGTACACAAACTGGTCAAAGCACAAATTAACCTAAAAAAATGTTATTGCAAAGATAAGCATTGACATGATGAATGATGATACATGATGATGATACATGATGATACATGATGATGATACATGATGATGATACATGATGATACATGATGATGATACA